CGCGAGACCTTACATCGAATATTATCTCAACCGTAAAGCATGAAGTATGAGCGTTTAATTAAAGCTAGACTCCTTAGTTGTTAGCTAGCTACATCACTTATACGTCGATTCTTGAAGAATTAATACAATTTAACACCTCATGAGCTAAGTTTATCTGTCGTACCCCATCAGAAACCATAATATAAGCCTGTTTTACTCCCAATGTTTGTAACCAAAGTAAATGTAACAAACACTGTATAGCCTCAAAACATTAAATAAACTAAAATGTTGATTTCATGGATGGCCAGTCCTAGCATGTATAGAGCTCTTGCTTTAAATTTGAGAGTGGTTACATTTCTCCAGGCCCATCCCTCAGCTTTCTTGTTATTGTTTCATTTAAGGATTCCAGCTTTAAAAATGTGGATTATTGTTGCTGCCATTGATTGCACAGAAATATATTAATGACTATGAATACAACACCAACTCTAAGACAAAAATACATTATCGTTATCTTACAGCATATATGTACATCAAATATATGCGTTACTGGTCCCCACTCATGATGTTACGGTAGAGCCGAGCTCCACTGCAAGTTTTTTTCCACCTGTGTGAAAGCGACACCTGGTGGTCATTCTGCGATCAAAAGTACCCAGTACAATTTATCTATGGACCCTTTGGTCTATTTTTACTTTTTGGTACAGTGGCTTACTGTATTTGTATAAGATTTATCTGGATCATACCTAATGTGTCATGTGTCATCATAATCTCCCTCTACATTAATGATAGACTGGACAAAAACTATAATGCTCTGCAAAGAGAGGACCACCTTTTGATAGGTTTCCTATCCTTTTAACATTCATTAGTGGGCACAGACTGCTTTGTGAGCTATCTTTATTTAAATTAAAGTAGATACTTACTCATCGTGTGTGCCCTGCCGTGCTAAATTGCTGCTCTGAGTGACAAGGGGAATAAGAGAGGGTTTTATTGAAAAAAAAGAAAGGCTTCTTCTGCCTTCAGGCTTGAGTGAAGCTGAAGCTAGAATAGAATGCCTATGACTCTATTTCCATTATTCATTCAAATTTGGTGTTATACAGCTACGGGATTTTTGGATTTAAATGTAAATTTATCTAGTCTGGGAGGCTGAGTTGGGTAATAGTAAACCTTGAGACAGGTTTTTTTTCCTTCTCTCCAAAGCCCTCTGTGTAAGCTGCTGACACAGAAACGCCATGTCAGTTCACTTTACATTTTAGTCATTTAGCAGACGCTCTTATCCAGAGCAACTTACTTTTTTTTTTTCATACTGGTCCCCCGTGGGAAACAAACCCACAACCCTGGCGTTGCAAACGCCATGCTCTACCAATTGAGCTACACGGGACTGCCCACAACTTCTTAATTGCGAAAAAGAGTGCTATTTAGTTCACCACGATGAATGATTTCATATGCTGCTCTTCCAGTACGCATATGCAAGACCAATTGAGGCATTCCATTTTGGAAATTAGGTTTTCCATGATCATCAGGCTCGTCTCAGCTTGTTAAATTATAACCTAGGAAATTAGGATCTGTTTCCCACATATGAATACTGAATAACTGAGGCCTGCTGTGACTGGGACTCTATTTTGAGGCATTTGCACAAGATATGTAGACATCATTCTGGTTCTGTTGTGTCTGTAGTGTTTATGGCTTCTATGACAGAATTATGAATGTCCAAAGTCCATAAAGATTAAGGCAAATTATAGTATTCATTAAGTAAAGATACTGTATCGGCTTCTTGATATATGTCCAATGACCATACCTTAATACCCTCAAGCACAGATAGAGATCAAGAACATAGTTGAAAGATGATGTCGTCTCAAATACTGTCTTAATTACCATTAATTATACAAGCATTGAATAAATAGGCTACTGTATTTAAGATGAGAGACTTGCTTTGACACACATATTCTAACCACTTAGAAGCTTCTTAAATTTAAGATGTCTGACATTGATGACCTTGGTGTGATGCCAGGGTATACAGTACAGTATTGGGCAGTTTCACCTTCACCAAACCAACATAGAGCCTCAACAATGGACTGATTGAAGGCCCTGAGTGTTGGAAGGGAAAACTCCCAGTGAGGGTAGAGGAAACGTGAACTGTATAATGACTGCTGAGGGATATCACACTAGGTTGGATTATCTACCGTACTCAGCCGTTGCGTGCTTTAATTAACAACACTGATTTTTTCCCTCCAGGGTTGGGTTCAGGAGAGGAAGAGTGCACAATAGCCAGCTCCAAGGGTACCATACATATAAAGTCCATTCAGCATCTCACAGTTAACCACTTCAACCAGGACAGTGTCTCACGTTGAAGAGGATTAAAGGAGAGAAAGGACCAAGTTACAGACAGGGAGAGAGATACGGACAGTGTGTCTTTTTAATATAGGAGTAGGGCTAAACCTCATGGTTCTGTGCCCCTCTGCCTCGTGTGCATTCCTGTGCGAATTACAGCCCTACAGTGACTGCCAGGGCAGCAGCCGTGGGATAAAGGGCTTAGCTTTCTGTGTGTGTGTATGTGTGTGTGAGTGAGCGTGTGTGTTTATGAGAGCAATGTAGAGCAGACTAGAGCAGGGTGCAAAGAGGATGGGGTGCACAGGAGCTGGGATGCTGCCTGGGATCAGCTGGATTCAGGGAAACACAATCCATCAATCAGATGTTAAACACACATACACACACACACACACTGCACTAATCTGCCGAGTCATGCTCACACAGCCCACAGAGTGGAGTGCAAAGACATAGGTTAAATGTTTATCCACTCACACATTCTAGAGAGCTTGTGATAGCCAAGCTGAAATGGTATGCTACAACAAAACAAGTTAGCTGTGAAATCATAATTACAAAAAATAACTAATAGCCTTAAAGAACAACAACTAAGAACTGAAAAACAAAATGGACACTTCATGACTTTCCCTTCCTTAATTTACAAGTTTCAAATACCCCCCTTATAACTGGCAGTACACTGACACTGAGCCTTCCCCCTGGGTACATTTGATCAATTCACGTTGCCAGGGTCCGATTTTCGACAGTCCATGACCATGGGGGCTCGACAGTCCATGACCATGGGGGCACAAGGTTGTCTAATTGAAGTGTCCCTTAAGGAAGGGTGAGGCCAAACCAGAGAGGTGTAAATGCTACTACATCAGTCACACTAAGGGACCCTTGAGACCCAAGATGGCAGATCTACTGCATTGACAGCCCACAGCTGCACCAGACTGGCTGAAGGTCAATGATGGAATAGGGAAACTGTTATTAAAAGGGATCAACGTGTGCAAAGAGACAATAGATCCACTGTGTGGCTGTTGCTGAGCAAACCTTATCCTTGTGAGGAGCTATGGCAGAAGGCAAAAGGGCAAACATGATTGTTGACAACAGTGATTTTATTCACATCAGTATTTAAAAAATATAAGGACTGTTTCGTTCTCTTAATTATAGTATAAGCATCTAACTGTCACGCCCTGGCTCTGGGGACTCTTTAATGTTGAGCCAGGGTGTTAGTTTCTAGGTTTAGTTTTCTAGGTTTCTGTTGTAGATCGTTGTTTTCTATGTTGGCCAGGGTGGTTCCCAATCAGAGGCAGCTGATTCTCATTGTCTCTGATTGGGAACCATACTTAGGCAGCCTGTTTGGCACAGTTAATTGTGGGATCTTGTTCCGGAAGGTTTGTGTATTTAACCTAGGACTTCACGTATCGTTTTGGTTCGTTGTGTGTACACTAATAAAAGTATGTACGCCTATCACGCTGCGCCTTGGTCCGCTTATTATGACGATCGTGACACTAACACTGTGCGGTTTCATCTAATTTTCTTTCAACAATACACAGTGACCAGCATTTCGATATAGACACCTAAACCATTAAGCAGTCAAATTACATTTTAAAATGTGTACTTACAATAAGATACAAATATATATATTATATAAATATAATATATGGTGCGTGCAACACTTTTCGAGCCTGTAATCGGGTAAGGCACTCCATCCCAGATCTCTTCAATCTTTACTTCTTTGGGAATGTTGGCACAGAGGCACATTCTTGTGAGTGTAGAATGACCACCTCTGATTTCAGAGATAAATAAACTAACCACACAACAAAGGGGTAAACTACAAAGTAGGATCAATGAGTTAGCCAGCTATCTTCGATAAACAACCCAAAATAACATTGATTTTCTGGTTCATTAAGAAACTTAGATATGTGTTTTTGGTTGTTGAGTCAATTAGACCAGGTATGTGGGGGAACTCAATCGGGGTCTCAACTTACCGTGTGAGAGTTAGAATAGTATAATACGCAATTTAGAAATTTGGTTGGGCAAATTCTCTTGTTTATGTCAGTCACTGACAGTCACTCAATGTCAGCAAAAAAATTGTAGATTGGTAAATTAGTCTAGCCAGTTATCTAAACTTCTAGTAATCATGGGTGAATTACTGACCGGGGGGGCCCCATTGATTTTGTTAGTTTGATTTTGCAAACATTTCTCTCCACCCTATGTGTAGAATTGCAGGAAATCCACTGTAAAACTGCTAATCTTTTTATCCGCCCATGACAGAATGAGTAGAAGAATTGCATGAAATTTGTTAAAAACTAAAAGTTATTTCAGAATATTTAGGCAAGTTAGCTGGCTAACCCATTGATCCTGCTTTGTAGTACACCCCTCTGGTCCAATATCCATGATATATCAGCCAACCGCAGTGCTTGAAGTGGGCTGAAATAGGTGCCGGTACTGTAACACATGGACAATAAAGTTGTATTCTATTCTATTTTGGGTGCTGTTTATATTAAGGTGCAGGAACTCCACAATATTTTAAGCCAATATTCTCTAAGAGCTGCAGAAACTCAAGCAGTAGAAAATGTGAGGTGATATAACTCAGTTCCAGTATGTTCCTGGCCAAGTCAAGCACTGGCCAAAAGACTGTGTGCAGGCTACAACTAAATACTGGTTTGGTAGCTTATTCATCTGGGCTCCTGGCCTCTCCCATGGGCGTAAACAGATGTCTACATTTTGGGCTCTTCACACAGGCTACACCCAGGCTTCTGGTCGGCCTGTTGTTCCAGCTGTATGGTGACTGAATGGAAGTTGTAGTTGGAGAAGCAGGTTTGGGTCAACTCCCTTAGGACTGGCTGGGCATCCACTAAGTCATCTGTGGAGGGAAAGACAAATGCAAGTATGATGACACTGACCAAATCACAATTGTGCAAGTCACTATGGTCTGATCAAGTCAAGTCACATGCAGTGCACACAGATAGTGGAAACGGCAGTGGTATTTCCACAGAAAGTGTCGTACTCTGATGTATGACAAACCAAATAAATGGTCATGGATACAATAAAGCCATCATCATCATCATTATATATGGGAGTTGTAACATAACAGTAGATTACTGACAGCCTGGTCCAGCTACACTCACCTATAGCCACGTGTGCTGACAGCACAGTCTGGTTCATAGTCAGGGCCCAGATATGGAGGCTATGGACAGACTTTACCCCCTTCACTGCCAGCAGCCGATTCCTCACCTCACCGTGCTTCACTCCAGCTGGGGTACCTGGGAAGAGATAGGGAGGGAGGGAAAGAGAGAGAGCGAGAGAGATATGGATTTCATTACACGCACACACAAACACAGAGGAGGGACTGGGAACAAAAGTTGGGCAACTTAGGTCCCTTTTAGACATGTTACAATCATAAACTCTTGCGCAAAAACATATCCTCATGGCTGTCGTCAATATAAGTCATTCCTAGTCTACAGTGAAACGGCCAGTTTGACATAATCCCGAAACAGGGATATTAGAGGGAATTCCCTGTTTTACCTTCCATGAGGACTATCAGGATGTCTCTCATAATGGTGATGGTGGTTCCCAGGACAAATATTGAAAACAGGAACGTACAGATAGGGTCAGCTATCTTATACTCGGGCTGTGGGAAACAGAGAAAGAGAGAGTAAGGACCATAATCATTACATTATCTTTCCCCCCAATATATTTAACTTTAGTCAAAAGACATACTTGAGGAAATCTATGACGTCCCTATCTCACATTAGAAACACGTAAAAGTTTGTGCTTGTACAGCATCATAAAAGGGATAATGTTATTGAGAATTGCCTCATAGCAATATCAGTAAAACAAATACACCATGCTCTAGTATTGGAGTTACCTTTGAGAACAATTTATAATAAATCGTAGCTAACTAGAAATAGTAGTAGTATATCCATCTTCCATCAATTACTGCTTGATTCTTTCAATGATTTAAATATCATTGTGTTTTGCTGAGAGTTTTCAATAGTATTTATGCAAATTCAAAAGGACTCTCAACTTAATCTATGAAATTAGACTAATGACCTAATATTGTCAGGGCACTATTTGGGCCACTACTGTGTTTCATTCTAATGCAATGAGTATTCAGCTATCTAAATGACCAGATCAAAATGACCTTACGAAAGCCAGGAAGAGTGTGTCAACACTAACATCCGCCTCATCCTTATCTAACATGCCCATTTTGCCTCGGCCCTAATCTCCTCACCCCATCGCCCTCTCCACCCCAGTTGACCACTATCTCCCCCATCACCCCAGTTGACCACTATCTCCCACAAAGTGGAGGCTACACAGAGGACGAACGGTAGGGCCATCCTCCTACGTGAATTTCATAAAAATAAATAAACATACTAAATATATTCACGTTTTGCAATGAAGGTCTACAGTAGCCTCAACAGCACTCTGTAGGGTAGCGCCATGGTGTAGCCAGAGGACAGCTAGTTTCCGTCCTCTTCTGGGTACACTGACTTCAATACAAAACCTAGGATGCTCATGAATCTCACCGCCTTCCATAGACCTACACAGTCACTCTGACAACTTCCGGAAGACAGCCTCCAACCTATCAGAGCTCTTGCAGCCTGAACTGACATGTTGTCCACCCAATCAAAGGATCAGAGAAATAATATTGTACTGAAAAGATAAGTTACAGATAGCTAGCACTACATGAAAGGTTTTGAGCAACAGTTATGAACAAATGTATTTATTTAAAAATGAAGGAGAAGCAAGAGAGAGAGAGAGAGCGAGAGAGAGAGATATTTCGTAGTTTTTTCACTTTCATTTAGCTAGCGAATGCAGTTAGCTAGTTTAGCCTACTCAAACACCCGGCTCAAACAGAGAGGGATGCTATGTTAGCTAGCTGGCTATCCAACACTGGAACTCTTCCAAGTCAAGGTAAGCTTTTGCTTTTATTAATTTATTGCCACCGTGGCCCACCGGTGCAACTGCTAAACTGCTTGCTGACTGTACTAGCTAGCATGATTGTAGCGGGTTTGCTAACGTGTTAGTTCTAGTAGCTATGTTGACTATGATGTTAGCTAATATGTTGACAACGAAGTAAGCTGTGTGTAGCGGTTAAGGGTTATGATATGAAGGTTTGGCTTGGATTTATTTTTTAGCCTGGTCACAGACAGCTGATGTGCTGTCCACTGAAGAGAAAAGGTGAGAGGAGGAGAGCACATAGATGCGAGAAGGAATTATACAACGAGCAAAATGATCATGCTGTTTGCATGTGGCTGCTATGAAAGTGAACTGTGTTTGCGTGTGATCAGGGGTGTACTCATTCCACCGATTCTGTTGAAAAACTTTTCTTAAAATGGAAGCAAATGGAACGGGGATAAAACATACCTGAATTTGTCCAATAGAAACTCTCGTTTGCAACTGTTGGTCTAATGATTACACCCTAGATCAGCTAGATGCAGGCAAGAGTGTGCAAGACGGTATTGAATGTGTCACTGTCGGTCACCTTGATTACTTTAATTTGTCTCTCAACCTTTGCACCTACGTTGTAAACTTTCATTCATAGGCTAGGTTGTAGCAACCTCATGAGGGGTATAGGGAAAATTAGAGTATCATGTAGTAGCCTAAACCTATCGATGTTACATTGAGCTGGGTGAATGGAATATAAATGACAGTCATCCAATATGCTGTAATAGAAATAAGGCCATGCTCATTAAAAAAAATATTGTCCTCCCTCATCTTAAACGTTACCGAACACCACTGCTCCAACATGACCCCAGTTAACCACTACCGCCCGCTACCTCCCACATCACCCCAGTTGACCACTACCTCCCACATGACCCCAGTTGACCACTACCTCCCGCTACCTCCCATATCACCCCAGTTGACCGCTATCTCCACCATCACCCCAGTTGACCACTATCTCCCCCAACACCCCAGTTGACCACTACCTACCACATGACCCCAGTTGACCACTACCTCCCATATGACCACTATCGCCCACATCACCCCAGATGACCACTATCGCCCACATCACCCTAGTTGACGTCTGACCACTGACCTTGAAGAAGATGATGATGGCGCTGACCAGCACGCTGATGCTCTGGAGCAGGTCTCCCACAACGTGCACGAAGGCGGCGCGCACGCTGGCATTGGCCTGAGGTCGCGACCCCGCCAACTCATGCAGCTGAACTTCCACCCCACCGTGCTCCTCCACGTTGCTGTTTCCATGGGAATGGTTTTCCTGGTTACCGTTACCGTGCGAGTGGTTACTTTTGTGGCTGTGCCCGTGCCCATCGCCCACCGCGTGGCTGTGACCGTGGTTGCCCTTGTCGTTGTTGCCGTGGCTGTGGCCGTGCCCGCTACTGAGGCCCCCGTGGCTGTGCCCATGCCCAGACTGGTGCAGGGTGAAAGCCATACTGCCCACAGGACATTCAGAAATAATTAACATATTAAAAGTCTTGTTATTCGCCATTATAAATGTTCATATATGCTTACAACAAGTTATAAAGCATTATACCTGTATGCATTACCGCAACATTGATGCTTCATGCTGTGGAAGATATCTGTAGGCTGTTTACATTACAATATTTGTATATCCTTGTTACTGTCACATCTACTTGCTACTGTTGGGTAACACTTTATTTGGATAGTCCATCTGTACATGCTCTACAGACTATCTAGACTATCAGTAACATTTCAACTAACTACTGTATCTACTAACCCTAACCGTAGCTCTAACCCTAACCTTAACCCTTATCCTAACACTTACCCTAGCCCAAACCTTAACCCTTACCCTAACCATTATTCTAAACCTAACCCTAACAGTAACCTTAGCAAGCAGTTGCTTATTAACTGATAGATTGTTGATAGTATGAAAATACGGACTATCCAAATAAAGTGTGACCTACTGTGGTTTGATTTTCACTTGTGAGTCACTAATATCTAGTCCTAAGTGGGAACCGTTAACGACCCGGAAATACTACTTACAAGGACTAAAACCCACGGCAATCCACTTCAGTTTCTCAGCTTGTCTGTCATCAGTAGTCGTCAATTGTAAACACTACATTAGTCATGGTAACAGCAGACCATTCATCCAAAGATGAATTAGAAGTCAATTCATGAATGGAATTTAATTGAATTCAACATTTCCACAATACTTTCTCTACGAACATTTCAGTTCAGGAATGGTGAAAGATAATGGGCTGCATTTGGGATCGGTGGACTCACATGATGTTTGCCACCACAGCGCAGCCTGAGGTAATGAGCATGATGGTCCCCTCAATCTCGTAATTATCGCTTATGAGGCGCTGCACGGCCAGGTAGACCAGCACACCTGTCACCAGCCAGATGGTCACCACCGAGAGGAGAGCGCCCAGGATCTCTAGAGGATAGATGGAGAGGACACACAGGAGAGGAGAAAAAGAGAACACATAATGTTTTAATCAGGGAAAATGCAGAGACGATAATGATAGAAATGTCATGGACAGATATGTTACAGTAAAGAGCTGCAGGTATAGCCATTTCATATTGCCAGCAGTGCCCGGCACAACCATGTGGTGCCAGACGTACCACATAGTGAGAACCAAGAGGAAAGGTCTCCAATAAGAGACACAGGTAGCCTAGTTTTACAAAACTCCAGTTGAAAAGTGACCATTGTACTATGCACAAATATTCACCTGAAAGGGTGATATTTTTATTCATCTGATGTACAGTACCAGTCAAAAGTTTGGACACACCTACTCATTCAAGGGTTTTTCTTAATTTTTACTATTTTCTACATTGTAGAATAATAGTGAAGACATCAAAACTATTAAATAACACATTTGGAATTATGTAGTAACCAAAAAAGTGTTAAACAAATGTTATATTTTAGATTCTTCAAAGTAGCCACCCTTTGCCTTGATGACAGAACAGTCTTGAAGGGGTTCCCACACACTTGTTGGCTGCTTTTCCTTCACACTGCGGTCCAACTCATCCCAAACCATCTTAATTGGGTTGAGGTCAGGTGATTGTGGAGGCCAGGTCATCTGATGCAGCACTCCATCACTCTCCTTCTTGGTCAAATAGCCCTTACACACCTGGAGGTGTGTTGGGTCATTGTCCTGTTGAAAAACAAAATGATAGTCCCACTAAGCGCAAACCAGATGGGATGGCGTATCTCTGCAGAATACTGTGGTAGCCATGCTGGTTAAGTGTGCCTTGAATTCTAAATAAATCATAAACAGTGTCACCAGCAAAGCACCCCCACACCATCACACCTCCTCCTCCATGTGTCACGATGGGAACCACACATGCGGAAATCATCCGTTCACCTACTCCGCGTCCCACAAAGACACGGCGGTTGGAACCAAGAATCTCCAATTTGGACTCATCAGACCAAAGGACAGATTTCCACTGATCTAATGTCCATTGCTCGTGTTTCTTGTCCCAAGCAAGTCTCTTCTTTCTATTGGTGTCCTTTAGTAGTGGTTTCTTTGCAGCAATTCAACCATGAAGGCCTGATTCACGCAGTCTCCTCTGAACAGTTGATGTTGAGATGTGTCTGTTACTTGAACTCTGTGAAGCATTTATTTGGGCTGCAATTTCTGAGGCTGGTAACTCTAATGAACTTATCCTCTTTAGCAGAGGTAACTCTGGGTCTTCCTTTCCTGTGGCGGTCCTCATGAGAGCCAGTTTCATCATAGCGCTTGATGGTTTTTGCGACTGCACTTTAAGAAACTTGCAAAGTTCTTACAATTTTGCGGATTGACTGACCTTCATGTTTTAAAGTAATGATGGACTGTCGTTTCTCTTTGCTTATTTGAGCTGTTCTTGCCATAATATGGACTTGGTCTTTTTCCATATAGGGCTATCTTCTGTATACCACCCCTACCTTGTCACAACACAACTGATTGGCTCAAACGCATTAAGAAGGAAATAAATTTCACAAATTAACTTTTAACAAGGCACACCTGTTAATTGAAATGCATTCCAGGTGACTACCTCATGAAGCTGGTTGAGAGAATGCCAAGAGTATGCAAAGCTGCCATCAAGGAAAAGGGTGGCTATTTGAAGAATCTCAAATATAAAATATATTTTGATTTGTTTAACACTATTTCGGTTATACATGATTCCATATGTGTTATTTCATACTTCTGATGTCTTCACTATTATTCTACAATGTAGAAAATAGTAAAAATAAAGAAAAACCCTGGAATGAGTAGGTGTGTCCAAACTTTGACTGGTACTGTATGAGATTTTTTAAAGTATGAATTGTCAGGCTCCTATTGTAAAGCCCATGATACACAATCACAACGCTAAAACAACCATTAGGTATGCTATTCTATAGACATATTAAATTACTCCACTTCTACTTATTTGTTCCAGAAAGGATGTGAGAGTATAAAGCACACGCATTAAGTATACTATTGACGGCTTATAGCAGCTTTCAACACTCGCTGGCTCATGATATTGGGATACATCAAGTATTGATTATTGATGAAGATGGTAGTGATGATGAGGATGAGCATATTATGATGATGATGATGATCATGAGGAAGGTGATGATGATGTTGAGGAATAATGACAATAATGATTACAATAATGATGATGATGATGATCTCACCTGCACGATGCCAGCCGTAGCTGAGTGTGCGTGTGGCGGGTCTGGACGAGAGCCACAGAGACACCAGGCTGATGATGAAGCTGGCGAAGTCTACCAGCAGGTGGGCGGCGTCGGTCATCACCGCCAGACTCCCCGCAAAGTAACCACCTACAGACAGATAAAGAGAGAGAGAGGAGTGAGAGAAAGAGAGAGAGAGGAGTGAGTGAGTGAGTGACTAACAACTAACTAACTAACTGACTGCCAACTGACTGACAAACACATAGACTTACTGACTAACTAACTGACAGGCTAACCAATAGTTATGTATCTATTTGACCCCTCACCCAGGATCTCTCCGATCATGAAGACCAGGCAAACAGCTGAGACCACGTAGAGCCTCTTCCTGGCCAACTGCTTCTCCCGCTCCCTGTCCTCCGTAGCCTGGCTGTTGTCATGGCAATGCTTGATGTTGCTGTCCTTCTCCATCTGCATTATCTCATCTGTGGACACACTGTAGGGGAGGGGGGGGGGGACAGGGAGAGAAGACAACAGACATGGATTATCCAAAAAGGAGGAGGAGAGGGGGTTGAAAAGGAGACTGAGAGGGAAGACAAGAGAGATGGACATCATGAAGTTCGTCCAAGAAGGAGGAGGAGGGGGGACAGAAAGCAGAGAGTAGACTGAGGCAGAGCCTGTAAGAATGTCTCTCTCTCTCTCTCTCTCTCTCTCTCTCTCTCTCTCTCTCTCTCTCTCGTTGTGCCCAAAAAGACCAGACAAGCGAGAGGGATGTCATGAAAATCATCCAAGAATTAGGAGGAGGAGGAGGGATAATGGAAAGAAGAGAGAAAAACTGAGGCTGAGCAGAGTTTGTAAGAAAGGATGGCCCTCTCGAGTTGTGCCCACCTTAGGTGTGTATGTGGCTGAGAGAAAATGTTGCTGTTTTAAAGCTAATTTCCTGAAATTCTACACATGATGCCATGGGGCAGAGAGAAAAAAATGCCAGTGCACATTGTACAGTCATGGTCAAACGTTTTGAGAATGACACAAATATTAATTTTTGCTTCAGCTTTTATGATGGCAATTTGCATATACTCCAGAATGTTATGAAGAGTGATCAGATGAATTGCAATTCATTGCAAAGTCCCTCTTTGCCATGAAAATGAACTCAATCCCCAAAAAACTTTTCCACTGCATTTCAGCCCTGCCACAAAAGGACCAGCTGACATCATGTCAGTGATTCTCTCGTTAACACAGGTGAGAGTGTTGATGAGGACAAGGCTGGAGATCACTCTGTCATACTGATTGAGTTAGAATAACAGACTGGAAGCTTTAAAAGGAGGGTGGTGCTTGAAATCTCTCGTTAACACAGGTGAGAGTGTTATTCCTCTGTTAACCATGGTTACCTGCAAGGAAACACGTGCCGTCATCATTGCTTTGCACAAAAAGAGCTTCACAGGCAAGGATATTGCTGCTAGTAAGATTGCACGTAAATCAACCATTTATCGGATCATCGAGAACTTGAAGGAGAGAGGTTCAATTGTTGTGAAGAAGGCTTCAGGGCGCCCAAGAAAGTCCAGCAAGCGCCAGGACCGTCTCCTAAAGCTGATTCAGCTGCGGGATCGGGGCACCACCAGTGCAGAGCTTGCTCAGGAATGGCAGCAGGCAGGTGTGAGTGCATCTGCATGCACAGTGAGGCGAAGACTTTTGGAGGATGGCCTTGTGTCAAGAAAGGCAGCAAAGAAGCCACTTCTCTCCAGGAAAAACATCAGGGACAGATTGATATTCTGCAAAAGGTACAGGGATTGGACTGCTGAGGACTGGGGTAAAGTCATTTTCTCTGATGAATCCTGAGACCATTCATGTGTGGGGTTGCTTCTCAGCCAAGGGAGTGGGCTCACTCACAATTTTGCCTAAGAACACAGCCATGAATAAAGAATGGTACCAACACATCCTCCGAGAGCAACTTCTCCCAACCATCCAGTTTGGTGATGAACAATGCCTTTTCCAGCATGATGCCATAAGGCAAAAGTGATAACTAAGTGGCTCGGGGAACAAAACATCGACATTTTGGGTCCATGGCCAGGAAACTCCCCAGACCTTAATCCCATTGAGAATTTGTGGTCAATCCTCAAGAGGCGGGTGGACAAACAAAAACCCACAAATTCTGACAAACTCCAAGCATTGATTATGCAAGAATGGGCTGCCATCAGTCAGGACGTGGCCCAGAAGTTAATTGACAGCATGCCAGGGCGGATTGCAGAGGTCTTGAAAAAGAAGGTTCAACACTGCAAATATTGACTCTTTGCATGAACTTAATGTAATTGTCAATAAACGCCTTTGACACTTATGGAATGCTTGTAATTATACTTCAGTATACCATAGTAACATCTGACAAAAATATCTAAAAACATTGAAGCAGCAAACTTTGTGAAGACCAATACTTGTGTCATTCTCAAAACCTTTGACCACGACTGTACATTAACAGTGTAGGTTTAGGTGTTTTTTTCTCAAAATGTAAATTCTACATGTGTGATGTTAATTACATTGTATGTTTTAGTAATATGTTTCTGTCTGTAGCATTTTTAAGTGAGTGAGCGTCAATAAAACTGGAACAATGTTGTATGTTGTGGTTACAAGTCATAGCATTCCCAGTGCTACTGTGTCTGCCATAAAGTCAACTGTTGACCCCATCTTGTCAACAGTGTGTTCTTTCCAACACCCCAGGGAGAATACTACCCAAATACAGTCACCAGCATATACAGTCCACCTACATTTCAGAGCCTGGTTGTCCCCTGTAGCTCAGTTGGTAGAGCATGGCGCTTGCAACGCCAGGGTTGTGGGTTCGTTTCCCACGGGGGGCCAGTATGAAAATGTATGCACTCACTAACTGTAAGTCGCTCTAGATAAGAGCGTCTGCTAAATGATGTAAATGTACATGAAAGGAAACTCCTCAAGAAAACCAGGTTGGTAGGGGGCCTTATTCGCTCCAATGTTGATAATTTACATTATTTGGGTTATATCCATAGCTATGGGCCTTATGAGAGTCATACATTGGTACATTGGGGTCATGCACTGAACCAGTTTAATCTGTTAGGCTAACTGACTAACTGATGTGTCTCTGTTTGTTCAACCTTGTAGCTCCAGGGCTACCCTTCCTTTAAATCCCCAACCAGGGACCAGATAATGGATGTGATGGGAAAGCAGTGTTGAGGAGTAGTGAGCTACATGTAGTTCAACAAGTAATTTAAATACTTTTGTAGGTTGGTGGTAATTAATTACTTTTTTGCCATGTAGCTAACTGCTGGAACTACACACTAAAATATGGTTGAAGTAGGCAATTTCCTTTCCTTTTTGGCAACAGACCTGCCTAATTCTCTCTTGAAACATAGTTTGTGTTTAATAGGCCAAATTACACATTCTGTTAACATCTGACTCCAGAGAAATCTGTTCTTACAATTTGTAGTCTATGACATTTCAGATTTCGATATGATAATTTATCACAAAGTAGTTTGGATGTAGTGAACTACTTTTTCAAAATAATGTTAGTTAAAGTGCAATCAGCAGTAGAAACAATAACAAAGCATTCTCCCCGCCCCTGTTTCGGTACCCGCCCCTGTTTCGGTAAAAAGCTGAGGGATGGGGCTGGACAAATGTAACCACTCTCAAATTCATAGAGAGATCTATGAATGCAGGGACTGACCATCAATGATATCAAAATTATAGTTTTAACCATGTTTTGAGGCTATATAGTGTTTGCTTAAATTTACTTTATTTACTAACATTGGAGTAAAACAAGCTTATATGTTGGGTTCTGATGGGGTATGACAGTTAAACTGAGCTCATTAGGTATTTATAAGTTATATTCTTCAAGAATCAATGGGTACATATCATTAATTTATAAGTCCAAAAATGGATGTAGCAACTGCTGATTGCCCCTTTAAGTAAACTATATTTTTCTTAAGGGTAGCTTAACTTCTGCCAGTGTTAAGTAATTGGTTAACTATATTTTCAGAGTAGCTTCCCCAACACTGCGGGAGAGCGTTAACACCACATTTGGTGTGGATGCTATGAAACAAGGAAAGATACCGCGCACTTTAGCATAACAATTTGGTCTAAGTTAAGTTTAACATCGGAGGCAAAAGGACCGTGAACTGACAGTACGTTTGGGGTGCCAAACATGTGAGTTGTCTCAGCTGAGCTCCTATCATCCTTATTACCGGGCAATAGCAAACCCAGAATTAGAACCCGTGCGCAAAATTGTTTTTTACACATGACTGAAGTGGGGGTATTAGGCTATTTAAGACTCTCAAAAAAAAGTTAGTTTTATTCTATAAATAAAAAATACCAATTAAAATAACATGTCAACGAAACTCACCATGGGCGCTCAACACCCTCCTCGTACACCAATGACATCTTCCAAAGTATATTTTACAACGTCACAAGTTTCAGAAGTGGTCTCGAACCTCCAAGTTTGCGCAACACTACAGCCAGCCCAGAACCAGACCCGTGTGTACAATATTGTAGGCTATAACCCACCCAGCCTAGCAGGAGCCCAGGCTGAGCTTGAGTACAGAGAACGCCTAATAAGGTGAACACAAGGCTGTCTGCTGTATATAAAACAATATAAAACAAACTATCACATTAAACACACTAAAATAAATGTGACTGTGTAGGAAATGTGAGAACTAGGCCTAATCATTCATTAGCATAATCAAAAAATCATATCGTCCTAATCATGTGCATATGTGTCAAGTGAAAAAACACAACAACTCATCAAGTTGCTGTGGAAATGGAGAAACAAATTCAAATAAATAACCCCTACTTATATGTCTATCAAATTATATTTAGGCTACAGTTTACATTTCCATTTTCGTCATTTAGCAGACGTTCTTATCCAGTCATATTTCGATGTCATTTTGTTTTCAGATATCATAAATGTAAATGCCATCATTGAAAACTACAGACTGACACTTTCAGGCAATACATTAACGGGCTACTTTACCTTCCCATGGTGATGCTATACATGGTGCCTTTCTCGGTGACCAGTTGAGTTTTCTCTGGATCCTTTCTGAACATGATTGAGTGCTTCTGGGATGACAGTAAACAATATAAAACTGGTTACAGTAAACAATATAAAACTGGTTAAACTATTAACTCCCAGCCAATATATTTAGACGGAGAAATAAAAACAGAAGACAAAATAAAAATGCATGAAAAAAATAAAATAATAATAGACTAATGTAAAACATAAAGGCATATTTCTAGTGTTATCATCATCTAAATAGATCTCCTCTCATAAAAGAGGACGACTTCCATGCATCTTCAAATATTGTTTAAGTGACTATGCAAGCAGTGTTAGTATTTGAAGCCTTGTGACCACACACCGTGTGCAAATGTAGCCGTCTGCAGCACCTTTAGGCAAAAGTTGCTAATTCAGGGAGAGGGTAGGAATTTGAATAAGAGATCTTCTGTTTCGAAAGGTAAGATTCCATAAAATAGAGGTAGCGAACATGAAGAAGAATATTGATTATTACCGAATCCTCAGCTTTTGCATGTTGGTCACATAGTCGTGCCACCAGTTATGAGACTTAATAATCGGATAAACAAACTACAATTTAGAAAGGCTTGATATAGCATATCATCTTCATAAACATGACATAAATGGTTCACAAGCATCTAGCATGTGTATACTGCAGGGATCATCATATACTGAACAAAAATATAAACGCAAATGTAAAGTGTTGGTTTCATGAGCTGAAATAAAAGATCCCAGAAATGTTCCATAGGCACAAAAAAACGCATTTCTCTCATATTTTCTGTACACATTTGTTTACATCCCTGTTAGTGAGCACTTCTCCTTTGCCAAGACATTCCATCCACCTGACAGGTGTGGCTTATCAATAAGCTGATTAAACAGCATGATCATTACACAGCTGCACCTTGTACTGGGGACAATAAAAGGCCACTCTAAAATGTGCAGTTTTGTCACAACACAATGCCACAGATGTCTCAAGTTTTGAGGGACCATGCAATTGCTCCCTCATGCTGACTGCAGGAATGTCCACCAGAGCTGTTGCCAGAGAATGTAATGTTCATTTCTCTACCATAAGCCACCTCTAACGATGTTTTAGAGAATTTGGCAGTACGTCCAACCGGCCTCACAACCGCAGACCATGTGTAACCACGGCAGCCCAGGACCTCCACATCTGGCTTCTTCACCTGCGGGATCGTCTGAGACCAGCCACGAGGACAGCTGATGAAACTGAGGAGTATTTCCGTCTGTAATAAAGCCCTTTTGGGGGAAAAACTCATTCTGATTGGCTGGGCCTGGCTCCCCAGTGGGTGGGCCTGGCTCTGAAGTGGGTGGGCCTATGCTCTCCCAGGCCCACCCATGGCTGCGACCCTGCCCAGTCATATGAAATCCATAGATTAGGGCCTCATTTATTTATTTCAATTGACTGATTTCCTTATATGAACTGTAACTCAGTAAAATCGTTGAAATCGTTGAAATTGTTGCATGTTGCGTTTATATTTTTGTTCAGTATAGATTCAGCCACAGGCTGATTGGTTCTTGAGCGGATGGTCAGGGGGCCTAAAAATAATTACAAATAATTGTAGACTGCAAATTGACTGCAAGAAGCCCAAACAGCTATAATATTTGACTAAAACATAATAATTTCAAACCTTGCTTACATTTGTATATGATCACATACACTCAGTGGCCAGTTTATTAGGTCTCTCCAGTCTAGCTGAGATCATTCAATGCCTACTGTCTACCTCACTGACTACTGTCTACCTCGCTGGCTGCAACCTGGTCTCATAGCATTTTGTATACTGTATGTATATCCGAGACACTCCATTTAGTATGATATGTTACGTTTCTGTTATGTGGGCAGCTTGTCTCTCCCTTTTCTGTTTCCCTTCCTCCTTGTTTTGTCCCCTCTGTGTCTGTTGTATCTGTATGTGTGTTTGTCCCCTTTATGTGGGTGTGTCTGGAGTGGATCAGGGGGCGTGCTCAGGATCTGCCTCTCCTGTGCAGCTGCGGGTTGTTTCCAGTGATTCCTGCCTACGCAGCTGCATCCTATTCTCTCATCAACCTGCACTACTAATTCCGGGGCATGGCTCTCCACCGGCGCCAGATCGTTGTTCTTACCAGAGCGGTAACTTGGCTCACCAGTAAAGTTATTTTGTCTTTGTCTTCAGCCTGGCTCTCCACTCTCCTTAACCTGTCGTTTGTTTTGTCTTCAGTTCAGACATACCTCCCAACCTGCCTGCCTTCCTGCCTGTCGGTCTGCCTGCCTGCCTGCCTGCCTGCCTGCCTCAGCCTCTCCTTCCGGAGCCGACTAGCCCACTCTGTTCCTTTACTTCAGTTGTTTTTGGACTAAGACAATTTGAACTTTTATTAAAATATTTTTGTTTCTTCCACTCCCTTTGTCGTGTTTGTTTCTCTGAGTGCTGGGTTGAACCATAGCCTAACAGAACGATCTGGCCATGGACCCAACAGAGAAACAGCACGGGGCAAACGAAGACAGCTTCCAACAAGCTATCCAGGCTCAAGGAACGTTGCTAGGACAGCATGACCAATTGATTCGGACTCTTTTGGAAGATAATCATCAACTGCTGAACCAGATGACTCAGTTAACTACACAAGTCTCTAAATTGTCTGTTATCAGCTCTCCATCTCTCTCTGACCCCCAGTTTGATGCACCCCAAGTTGTTTCCTCTGACATTATGCAGGCTTCGTTCCATCGGGAACCCCCTGTCACGTCGCCTGAACCGTTCAATGGAGAATTGGACAAGTGCCGGGGATTTTTGCTTCAGTGTGACTTGATTTTTCGGCAGAGACCACTGTCGTTTTCTACTGATTCCTCTAAGGTACATTATGTTCTGGGGCTGTTAAGAGGGAGAGCTCTGGTTTGGGCTGAGGCTGTATGCTCAAATCAAACTTTGACTGGATTGACTTTCGCTGATTTTTCTGCTAAATTGAAGACTGTTTTTGACCATCCTGACCATGTGGGTAATTCCTCCAAGATACTTTTTAATTTGAGGCAGGGTTCTAACAGTGTGGCTGAGTACTCTATTGAGTTCTGGACTTTGGCAGCGGACTCCAAGTGGAACAATGTGGCATTTCTAAACGGTTTGAATGAAGCCATTAAGGATGAACTGGCTGCTCGTGACGAGCCACATGATTTACATTCTCTCGTTTCCCTGTCCATTAAGCTAGACAACCGGTTGCGGGAGAGGCGTCGGGAGAGAGGCGGTCGGCCGCATCTAGGAGGACGAGTTCCCCAGCCTTCAACCACTCGAGTCTCGCCTCCCCGGAGCCGGCAGCTTCTTGTTCCTGATTCCATCCCGAGCACAGAGGAGGAACCTATGCAAGTGGGTCGAGCTCGACTACCTCCAGCAGAGCGGCAACGGCGCCTCCAGGCGGGTGAGTGCCTGTACTGTGGAGACGCCACACACATTCTGGCTACATGCCCTAAGCGGCCAAAAGACAAGGCTCGCTCGTAACGGTGGGTCTACTTGCGAGCCCAGAGTTAGATCCTGAACCCATCATTCCCCGATTACAAGTACCTGTAACCTTACGTTTCCAGAGTCATTCCCTGCCACTCTCAGCTCTCATAGACTCAGGTGCAGAAGACAACTTTATTAGCCACCAGTTCGTTACACAAGCTCGTATCCCCATGGAGCCACTACCTACCCCCATTCGGGTCACAGCCCTTGATGGGCGCCTCCTCGCGGAGATAACTCATCAAACCACCCCCGTTTCCCTAGTGATTTCTGGCAATCATTGTGAAAGCATTCAGCTAAGAGTTATGTCTGGCTCAGCTACCTCCCTAATCCTTGGCTTCCCCTGGTTGGCTCTTCACAACCCACAAATTGATTGGACACGTCACACCATTCTCAGTTGGAGCACTAACTGTCATTCAGAGTGCCTTAGGTCAGCGGTTCCCCCCACTAAGGGTAACCCAACTCATCCCTCAGCTCCTCTTGATCTGTCATCTGTCCCCAAAGAATACCATGACTTAGCGGAGGTTTTCAGTAAGGACAAGGCTCTGTCTCTACCACCACATAGGCCTTATGATTGCCCTATTGAACTGCTTCCTGGTGCTCCCTTGCCCTCTAGTCGCTTATACAATCTGTCCCGACCGGAAAGAGAGGCAATGGAGCAGTACATTGGTGATTCTCTGGTCTCGGGCATAATCCGTCCCTCGTCGTCTCCTTTGGGTGCAGGTTTCTTTTTCGTGGAAAAGAAGGACAAGTCGTTACGCCCCTGTATCGATTTCAGGGGTTTAAACAACATAACTGTTAAAAACAAGTATCCCCTTCCACTCATCAACTCTGCTTTTGAACCTCTGCATGGCGCCACAGTTTTCTCCAAGCTCGACCTCAGGAACGCTTATCACCTTGTCCGGATCCGAAAGGGAGATGAGTGGAAAACCGCTTTCAACACTCCACTGGGACATTTTGAGTATTTGGTCATGCCCTTTGGGCTCTCAAACGCCCCTGCTGTTTTCCAAGCCATGGTGAACGATGTTCTTAGGGATTTTTTGAACCGTTTTGTCTTTGTTTTTTCCAAGTCACCCGAGGAGCATGAGTCACACGTCCGTCAAGTCCTTCAACGGCTCTTGGAGAACAAGCTGTACGTCAAAGCAGAGAAGTGTGAGTTCCACAAACAGTCTACATCGTTCCTTGGTTTCATCATTGAGAGCGGGCAGGTGAAGGCGGACCCCGAGAAGATCCGGGCAGTGACGGAATGGCCCATACCCACCACCCGTAAGCAACTTCAACGATTTTTGGGCTTTGCTAACTTCTACCGTAGGTTCATTAAGGGTTTTAGTAAAGTGGTGGCACCCCTTACTAGACTCACATCCCCAAAAGTCCCTTTTCTGTGGTCCCCTGAGGCGGAGCAGGCGGTAGGGGTTTTGAAGGAACTGTTTTCCACCTCCCCTGTGTTGATACACCCCAATACCTCTCTGCAGTTTGTTGTGGAGGTGGACGCGTCGGACTCAGGTGTGGGAGCAGTCCTCTCCCAGCGCTCCCCCACTGACCAAAAGCTTCACCCCTGTGCTTTTTTTCTCCAAAAAATTGTCACCCACAGAACGGA